TTTCTTTATCAATGATTTGTTTTCTTTCGACTTCTCTCTTTCCCTCTCTATCTCTTTATCTATGTGTCTGTTCTGTTCCTTCCATTCTTCTCTTCTTCCCTTCCCCTGTTCCTTTCTTTCTCCATTCCTTTCTTCCTCCCTTCCTCTCTTCCCCCCTTTCTCCCATCCTCTCTTTCTCCCTTTCCCTCTCTTCCCCCCTTTCTCCCATCCTCTCTTTCTCCCTTTCCCCCTCTTTCCTCTCTTCCTCCTTTCTTTTTTTTGATCCATCCTGAAAGTAGGAGAAACACAGCGCCCTCGATCACAATCGTTATCTTTCCTGATAGAGTGTCTTGTCGAGGAAGAAGGAGGAAAAGGAGGAGGTGGAGGAAGGTGGAGAAAGTAGAAGGGGGAGGAGGAGGAAGGGGAGGAGGAGGAGAAGGAAGTGGAGGGAGGTGGAGAAAGTAGAAAGGGGAGGAGGAGGAGGAGGAGAAGGAGGAGGAAGAGGAGGAGGATGAGGAGGAGGAGGAGGAGGAGAAGGAGGAGGAGGAGGAAAAGGAGGAGGTGGAGGAAGGTGGAGAAAGTAGAAGGGGGAGGAGGAGGAAGGGGAGGAGGAGGAGAAGGAAGTGGAGGGAGGTGGAGAAAGTAGAAGGGGGGAGGAGGAGGAAGGGGAGGAGGAAAAGGAGGAGGTGGAGGAAGGTGGAGAAAGTTGAAGGGGGAGGAGGAGGAAGGGGAGGAGGAGGAGAAGGAAGTGGAGGGAGGTGGAGAAAGTAGAAAGGGGAGGAGGAGGAGGATGAGAAGGAGGAGGAAGAGGAGGAGGAGAAGGAGGAGGAAGAGGAGGAGGAGGAGGAGGAGGAGAAAGAGGAGGAGGAGAACAACAACAAGAAAGGAAGAAGAAGAGGAAAGAGAAGTTAAAGAAGAATTAAAAGAACAGCAAGAAAAGAACAACAACAACAAAGAGAAAGAAAAAAGAAAGAGGGAGAGGAATTCACGTACATATACTTACGAGAAAGAGAGAGAGAAGAAGAAGAGAAAAAAAAATGACATAAATCACAGAATACGAATAAATGATGCGATCCTGCGTACTTTTCCAAAACCGAATTCTAAAGCTAAGAGTTTTCGATCTTATGTAACTGAGATTAATGCCTTTTTTTCCGTGAAACTAGAATGAATGACGGGGCGCTTTGTGGGGGGGTGGGGGGTGGGGGTGGGAGCGCGGCGTTACGCAATCATATTCGGTAAATTTTTATGTCGGTAGAGTGTATATGAGGATTTGATTTATGTCTTCTCGGATATGTGGATATGGGAGTGGGTGTGTGAGGGGGGGGATAGGGGGGGGGGGGTCTTAGCGTGGATTTTTGTGGGCGTGGGTTATTGTGGGCGTGGGTTGTTGTGGGCGTGGGTTATTGTGGGTGTGGGTTAATGTGGGTGTGGGTTGTTGTGGGCTTGGGTTGTTGTGGGCGTGGGTTGTTGTGGGTGTGGGTTAATGTGGGCGTGGCTTGTGGTGGGCCTGGGTTGTAGTAGGCGTGAATTGTGGTTACCGTGGGTTGTGATGGACGAGTGTGTTTGATGGGCGTGAGTTGTGGTGGGCGTGATGGGCGACGTGGGTTACAGATAATGGATGAATCTGTTATTACATGCCTCCTTTCTATTCTTTTTCTCTCCTCTCTTTTTCCCTTGGAGGCAGGAGGTAGGGGGAAGGGGGGGGGGGGTTTGTGTGTATGGGTCCTTTGTTAAGCGATGACGTTCCATTAGGCACTGTAGGAACTTATCTTGTTATGGACAAAGAGAATTTTCAGATTTGTTTGTCTCTGTGTGTCTGTGAAGGTGGGGGGTATGTGTGTGTTTGTGCGTGTTTGTGTGTTTATGCGCGTGTAGTGTGTGTGTGTGTGTGTGTGTGTGTGTGTGTGTGTGTGTGTGTGTGTGTGTGTGTGTGTGTGTGTGTGTGTATGTGTGTGTGTGTATGTGTGCGTGTGTTGTTTTTTGTGTATGTGTGCGTGTGTGTGTGTGCATAAGAGCGTGCGTGTGTCTGTATATACGTGTATATGCACATAACACCATTCCACATCGTGAAGAAACCAAACAACTGCAATTAACAAAAACAAAAAAAAATGTATATCACAAACAACAAAAAAAAAATCCCCGTTCACTTTGAAAACATGAATGAAAACGTGTTTACTCCATCAATCACGGCCCGAAATCGCAAAGATATGACTGGCTCCTTCAAGATTTTTCCCCAGTGTTTTCTGCAGTTGTGAGTGAAACTGATTGATGGAACGCGTCGGGACGTGTTTAAGATAGTTGCGGATTGCGGGGAGGGGAGAGGAGGGGAAAGGGGGAAGGGCTGGGGAAGGGAGATGGGGAGAGGGGAAGGGGAGGGGGAAATAGAGAGGGGACAGGGGGAATAGGGGATGCGGAAGGGGGAGAGGGAGAGGGGAAGGGGAGGGGGAAATAGAGAGGGGACAGGGGGAATAGGGGATACGAAAGGGGGAGAGGGTCGGAAAGGCGGAGAGGGACGGGATAAGGAAAGAGGAGAAAGGGGGAAAGAGAGGGGGGAAAGGAAGGAAAAGGGGGAAGAGAGAGAGAAACAGGAAAGCGGAGGAGGCGGCAAACGAGGGAAAGGAAGGAGAGGCATGTAAGGGAAAGGGAGAGAGGGATGAAGGGAAGTCGAAAGGAAACAGAAGGGAAAATGAGAAAGGGGGAACTGGAGGAGGAAGTGGATGGGGAGAGAGAATGAAAGAGAGGGAGAGGAAGAGGAGAAAAGAAGGAGAGGCAAGGAAAAGGGTGAGTGAATAGGAGAGATTGAAAGGGGAAATGGGGGGAAACTCGTTGTAAGAGCAAGTGAGAAATTTATGAAGCGTAAAATGTTTTTCAATATTTCTTCTCGTGGAAAATGGAATACAAAATGCCATTGAGTTGAATTGACTGGAAAATGCTAACTAGAGCAAAGAAAAATAAAGAGTGAGAGAGACAGACAGACAGACAGACAGAGACAGAGGCAGAGAGACAGACAGACAGACAGACAAAGTAAACAAACAAACAAACACAAAAAAACGCAGAAGAATAACAGAGAAGTAGAACAAGAAAGGAAATACTGATAGAACAAGACGAAGCGAAGAGATGAACCCAACCAGAGCTGCCTTCGCCCTTAACTTAAAGATCCGTGTCTAGCAGAGAGATTGATAAAGGAGGAGTGAGTAATCCTGACGGATTGGCTGAGGCGCTGCATTCAGACAATAGACAATTTCTCGAAAAAAGGGAGAGTGTAGAGGCCATATATAAAGGAGAAGGAGGAGGAGAGAGAGAAAGTGTGTGTAGAGGCCATATATAAAGGAGAAGAAGAAGAAGAAGGGAGAGAAAGAGAGAGAGAGAGAGAGAGAGAGAGAGAGAGAGAGAGAGAGAGAGAGAGAGAGCGAGCGAGAGAGAGAGAGAGAGAGAGAGAGAGAGAGAGAAGCAGACAGACAGATAGACAGAAAGAGAGAGAGGCATGAGGCAGATTGTAAAACTGCAATGAATAGATTAATGAAATGATAAAGACATGCCATTGTAACGTGCCTGTGATAGAATAATATTGAAGCAAAATTGCACGTTTGGAAGGATTAAAGAGGATAATGATAAACAGTAACACGCGGGTGATAAGGAAATTGAAAACAAATAATTACTTATAATCAATAAATCAATAAATCATAGAAATGATGAATAATTAGGTAGTAAAGAATGATCATAATGAATTAGATTTTTTTTTTAAAGCAAATGATAATAATACACCTTAGCTCTATCCTCTCACAATGAAAACGAATTCGTATTAATCCTTATCCGAACTTTACTAAATCCTTCAGCTTGATTATTATCTCCCCCGAAACGAAAGATTTACATTAGTCCCCCCCCCCAAAAAAAAAAAAAACTATTAAAAAGTCATACTGCATTTCCCTTAATTTTTATCACAATTTCATCATCAGAGATAAGAATGACGTTTGTTCTCCCACAAGAGAGGACCAAGCTGATTACAATTTCGGTGCTGGATTGAAATGCAAATGTAGTTTCCTTGCCAAAATTTACGGTGTCCATTAGCAAGCGATGTGCGTTAATTCTCGTTTTAATATTTGCTGAAGGCTTATCCATGTGCCAGAACAAATCAACGTAGAAGTTAATGACTCACTAATGTCCCCGCCTCTATTTACGAGGTCAAACTGGGTCACATTGGGTCAAAATGTTCATTTACGTGGTCACACGTGCGTGTATCATGGAATACTGTCACAGGCGAACATTTACGTGAATTAAGGTCACACGCCAGGTTAGGGTCATATTTATAACAGCCTATTTTTAATATCTTGTGCCGTGTTTTTTTGCCTGACTGTGTAAAACTGCGGCAACACTAGGGTTTCCAATGCAATGCACCAATGGGAGCATTCATATTTCTGTGATATTGGCTGCCAAAACTTTGTACAGCGATACGGCGTCGGAATATTGTGTAGTGTAAACTTTCATGTAACCTAGGATAACGTCATTGCACTTATATATGTATCTATATCCACGACAATATCTATCTGACTGTCTACCTATTTTATCTATTTATATACCTATCTATCTATCTGCATATATATCTATTTATTTATTTATGTGCATATGTTTATTTATCTATGTGTATATGTTTATTTATCTATGTGTATATCTATATATTTATCTATCTGTATATCTATTCATTTAACTATCTATATATCTATCTATGTATCTATCTATCTATGTATCTATCTATCTATCTATCTATGTATCTATCTATCTATGTATCTATCTATCTATCTATCTATCTATATCTATATATATATATATATATATATATATATATATATATATATATATATATATATATATATATATATATGTATATATATATATATACATATACATATACATATACAAGTACATATACATATACATATACATATAAATATACAGACTCACTATATATAGTTAATATTCACAACCGACAACCTTAACTAACTAAGGTCAACCGTCACCGACAGGTACAGGTGTGGAAGAGGCGATGCTGGGTCGTGATCCGCGGAGACAGGTCACCGGAAGATGGCGCCACGAGGTCAGGTCAGCTCAGCCTCAGCGTGGAGATCTACACGCGGCACGAGGGGTCAAACCATCCCACCGAGGGGACCATTCTGCACCTTGACCTTGTTCACAGGATTCGTCGCGCCAAGTCCAAGTAAGTCAGGTCGATTATTTGTTTTGTTTTTATTTTTCATTTGTCTTGTTTTGTTTATGGGTTTATTGTATTTTTTTCGTGCGTGAATGATGGTAGGAAGTTGAATGTTGGCCTGTAGTGAGGCTGGATTTTTTTTTTTTTTTTTTTTTTTTTGTCTTGGATTGACCTAGGATTATTTACCTTGTTTTTTTTTAGGCCTAGGATTTTTTACCTATTGTTTTTAGACTTAGGATTTTTCGACCTATGGTTTTTTTAACTATAATTTTTAGGCCTAGGATTTTTCGACCTAGGATTTTTTAACTATTATTTTTAGGCCTAGGATTTTTAGACCTACTATTTTTAGACCGAGGATTTTTAAACCTAGGATTCTTAGACCTAGAATTGGTTGACCTTGGACTTTTTTACCTAGGATTTTTGATCTAGGAATATTTGATTTCGACTTCTACGACCTGACGAGGTTCTGTTACTAATGTTTCCCTGTCTTCTCCTATCTCTTTCCTACCTTCCTCCTTCTCTTCTGCGCTTTCCTCTCACTCTCTTTCTTCTTTCTTTCCTCTTTTTTTTTCGTCTTCCGCCCCCCCAACTTTCTCCTCGATCTCTCTTTCTTCCTCCTCCCCTCTTCCTTCTTCTTTTCGCTTTCTCTCTTCTTTCATCCTCCTCTTAATTCTCCTTCACTCTTTCTTCTTGCTCTCTCTCTTTCTTCCATTCTCATTCCTTCTTCCCCTTCTCTTTCCTCTCCTACATTGAGGAAAGAAGGGAAGGAACGGAGGAAGAAAGGGAGGGAAGATGAAAGTAGAGATGAGAGGATAAACTAGAAACGTAATTTTTTTTACTGTTTTTTTCTTATGATTGTGAAAACGTTTCGTTTCATCCTTGTACCCTCGTGTTTTTTGTTGTTGTTGTTTTTTTGTATTTGTGTGTTTACGATTTCTTGTTTGTATTTGTAAGTTTATGTATTTTTTGTTAGTTTGTTAGTATCTATTTGTATTATGTTTGTTTGTTTGCATTTGTTTGTGCTCACGTTTTTACAATCGTTTATGTTTATCTGCTTGTTATTAGAGTTTCTGTCATCCTTTTGTTTATATATGTGTTTTTGTATGCTTGTATTTTCGCAATGATTCAAGTGTGATATGCATATTCATTTTGCTTGCATTTGTGTGTGTTTACGTAATTCTGCTTACGATTTACGAGTTTAATCATGTCTATGATTGCGTGCTTGTATTTTATATGTGTGTATTTTTATGATGATTCAAGTGTGATTTTTATAAATACATTTATTCGGACTTGCTGAATCAGCAAACGCAAATCCCCACGATCATATTAACGAGATAATCCATGTTTGCATTTCTGCTCGAATGCAATATGTCAAATGCATGCAATCGATATCTCCAATAACAGAACATACACATAAATCCTGTCATTCTGTACATACATATATTCACATTCCTCCAGCTGCGTGCCTTTATGAAAACGATTGCAAAGGTTGGGGGGGGGGGGCATTCATACATATACATATAGATAAATACACGCGTGAAAGGAAAGGGTTTGAGCTAACGTGTGCGTGTGTGTGTGTGTGTGTGTGGGTAGGGTGGGTGTGTGTGTGTGTGTGTGTGTGTGGAAGGGGGATGTGTGCGTGTGTGTGTGTGTGTGTGTGTGCGTGCGTGTGTGTGTGTGTGTGTGTGTGTGTGTGTGTGTGTGTGTGTGTGTGTGTGGGTAGGGAGGGTGGGTGGGTGGGTGTGGTTGTGTGTGTGTGGAGGGGGGTTGTGTGCGTGTGTGCGTGTGTGTGTGTTTGTGTGTGTGTGTGTGTGTGTGTGTGTGTGTGTGTGTGTGTGTGTGTGTGTGTGTGTGTGTGTGTGTGCAGTTCAGACACAACCATAGGTTTTTCTCTATACCGAGAGAGATAAGGGCGCAATCTCAGCGAAAACACACATGTACACAGCTCAACAAACTGCTGTAAATTCGTGAAAGAGAAGAAGAGAAAAAGGCAGACAGACAGACAGACAGACAGACAGACAGACAGACAGACAGGCAGACAGACAGACAGACAGGCAGGAAGACAGGCAGGCAGGCAGACAGGCATATAAACAAATGACAGACGAAGGTATACAGACAGCTACACACAGACGTAGGGAGAGTCAAATATACAGACAAACAGATTTATACACAGATAGACAGACAGACAAACAAGAAACCCAGACAGCAAAACCCTTCTTCGTTTACTCATAGCCGTTGCCCCCACTCCCCCCCCCCTTTCCCCTTTAACCGTTCTTCCTCCCAGAATCAATTTCTGTTTCGCTTCTCCAGAGGCCGATCTGTGTATCTCCTTCTCGTCTCCCTCCCTCCTCTAACCCCCCCCCCCATTTCGACCCCCCCCCCTTCTCATCCTCCCCAACCCCACACTTCAATCCCCATTCCCCTACCCCCTCTTCCTCCTTTCCCATCTGCTCCTCCTCCCCGTCCTCTTCCTTTCCCATTTGCTGCCCCTCCTCTCCCCATTCTCCTTTCTCCTCCTTTTCTATCTGCTCCTCTTCTTCCTTCTCTTCCCATTTCTCCTCCTTTCCCATATGCTCCTCCTACTCCTTCTCTTCCCCCTCCTCCTCTTTTCCCATCTGCTCCTCCTCCTTCTTCTATTCCCCTTTCTCCTGTTTTCCTATCTGCTCCTCCTCCACCTCCCCCCTCCTCCTCCCTTCCCATCTGCTCCTCCACCACCTCCTTCTCGGCCTCCACTTCCCCCCCTCCTATCTACTCCTCCTCCACCTCCCCTTCCCCCCCCCCTCCTTCTTTCCCATCTGCTATTCCTATCGTTTCTCTTTCTTAATCGGTTACTATTATCGAATTCCCATCGCCGACTTCCGAGACCAGAGAAAGTACCGTCGACCCCTTCTCCTGTTTCCTTCTCCTGTCTCATTCTCCTGTCTCCTTCTGTTCCTCCTTTTCCATGCCGTTGTCCTCCTTCTCCTGTGTCTTCTCTATTTCCCTTTCTGTAATCCGTTTCTGTCTCCGTCTCTGTCTCTGGTCTCTTTCTATTTGTATTTACCTCTCTATCTATTGATCTGCTTATCTGTTCATGTATCTACTTATTTATCTAGCTATCTGCCTCTGCCTGTTTCTCTCTCAATCTCTCTCTCTCTCTCTCTCTCTCTCTCTCTCTCTCTCTCTCTCTCTCCTCTCTCTCTCTCTCTCTCTCTCTCTCCTCTCTCTCTCTCTCTCTCTCTCTCTCTCCCTCCTCTCTGTTCCTCCTTCTCTTTTGAAGTCTGCACGGATTGTGATGTTTGTATTAATGGTAAATCTGCGTTGTGTTATTTTTGGAAACAAGTTCGTAGTTAAGCTTGTCAACCTAACAAAAAATGACTTGTTTTTTTTTGTAAATGTTTTGCAACTGCACTGTGCAATAGAGCCACAGTCTTCGTGGGAATATAACACCGGTTTATGCCAGTCTGCAATCGAAGGACAAATAAATACTTATTCTGGACAATAATGTGGAACTTTTTTCTGGTTATCTCTATCTGTTTCATTTTTTTATTGTATTTATTATCTTTCCATTAGTTTTTACTGTTTTCCCCCACCTACAAATGGATCAGTCCTCTTCCTCTTTCCCCTAAATGTCCCTCCCCTCCCTTTCCCTTTCTTTTTAGTCCTTTTATCCTCAATTTGCTTTCGCTTGGAGATCATAATTGTAAATAGACGCAACCCAAAAAAATATACCTTTACCGTTTCTCGTATTCATACAAAGGACACCAGGAACAGGGAATTAAGGAACACAAAAATGGGATTATAGACATGATAAGAATAATAACAATAACAACGAGAGAAGGGATACAAAGAGCGAACTAAGTTGGTCGGAGAAAGGGGAGAGAGAGAATGGGATGCCACGCTGTATGGTTTTCAATTTTGTGTGTAAATTAAATGCCTGGTTGGCCTGCTTTCTCGTTCGTGGCATAAGGGCTCTTATCACTATCAGCTGTCGGTATTGGCAACTGCTCTCGGTTTTCCTCTTCATGTGAAATAGTTAGTAACATAGGTCTATAGTGCAAATGCAAGGATTGGATTCCCGCGTCTTCCGGTCGTAGTCGGAAAGTCTACGGTGTGCTTTCGCCTTGTTTCACTTACTTTTATTTTTTTTTTACTTTTTCTCAGCACCATTTGTAATACACTACAAGGCTTATTATAACTGGAAACAATATATCTCTGCTTAGATATCCAAATGCAAGATTTATGACAAAGTTAACAGTTCTGCTGTTCCATTTTAAGAGTGCTGTAAGGTCAAAACTAAAAGCGTGCTCTTACATAACACTCGGTAATGACTATTACATGACAAGTGTTTAATCCAACTTTGCTAACGATTCAACTGAGGCCTATGTAATGCCAACAGTTTCCTATCGAAAATGAAAAATCAACTATTCTAGAATGAAAACTGATTGTATTTGTGTTGGTATGTGAAAATAAAGAATAAATAGCTAAACAGGCAGGCAAATACGCAGAAAACGTGAATTTGACAATGAAAGTTCAATAGTAGTTTAAATCTAATGGAAAAGTGCAAAAGGTTTATGTGTATATAAGCACATACACACACATGCGCCTGTGTGTGTGTGCTTATGTGTGAGTATGAGAGAGAAAGTGAGGAAGAGAAAGAAAGAGAGAGAGAGAGAGAGAGAGAGAGAGAGAGAGAGAGAGAGAGAGAGAGAGAGAGAGAGAGAGAGAGAGAGAGAGAGAGAGAGATTCCTCTAGCCACCTATCTATCTATCCTTTTATCCATCTCGCCCCTCCAAGCCTCTAATTAAGAGAACCAGCATTTTTTTTTTCTTTCTTTCTTTCTTTCCTTCTTTTGACATTGTCGAGTTAAGTCAGTCGTCAGCAGTTATTTTTGTCCCGTTGCTTTTATCCAATTACCCGTTCTTGTTTTTTTTTTTTTTTTCATTTAAATATTGTGGATGTTGGAAATATATTTTTTTTAGTAAAGATTCAGATTTAATCAGCATTTCCCAAAATACTTCACGCTT